GTAAATACTAAAAACATTCAAGATGGCGCGGGGGGGGGGAGATCCTCAATACTTAGGCACAACTCACATGATTGTGGTTATTGGTATTTCCTGTAGTGTTCAAACAGTTGCTTAAATTGTTCCTCTTCTACTTGTGATTTCAATTATGCTCTATATTCTTGTTTGTGCATTGCTCAAATATACATTCAGCTATTTGTAAAATAGATCCAAATGCAGCGTAAGTAATAAAATGATGGAACTACTGTACTGACATGGGTTGTAAATGGACTTGAACAGATATACTGTAAACCCACTATTATGCGTAGGAGAAGGACCCAACCCTTGCCTTGCCTCCATCCTGTTGGATCTCTGATTTTAATACTACTGACCATGGTGTATTTCCGTGGCATGCAAAGGTTGGGGGAAGGGGGACATTGTGTTGCAGTGGTTCTCCTTCCTGAACAGGGAGTTCCAGTAGATGGGTGGAAGAAATCATCAGGTGTGCTGATGATTCCCAGTTGTGTATGTCCACCCTGGGTTAAACAGGAGATGCAGCTGAAGTCTTGATGCAGTGCCTGGGGGCTTTCAGTGTATGGATCGGGAGAAACAGGCTCAGACTTAACCCCCAGTAAGACAGAATGACTCTTGATTCAAATGTCTTTAGATTGCAGAGAAATCCCAACTCTGATTCTAGATGAAGTTACTCAGGAGAGAGCAGGCTCTACAGTCTGGGGCTTTTCCTGGAAACAGCTATTGCTCAGGGCTGGTTTTAGGCCTAGGCAACCCAGGCAGTGGTCTAGGGCACTAAATTTTAGGGGCTGCCAAAATTTAAAAACTTCCGAAATACATAATATGAGTATAAAATCTGATAATCTTTCCTCGTTGGTTTATAACTTTTTCTTTATGCTTTTCAAAAACATAGAAAAAGTCAATCAAGTGGTAGTGAATAGCACACTAGCCAGATGTTGAAAGTCATCAAAAAGACATTATTATTACAGCTATGCACCTCAGGCAGCTTTTAACATTACCGCAGCAAGACAAAAGTTTGATAAAAAGGTATTGAGCAAGTGAGTTGCGTGACTATCAGCTTTAAGTTATATCTGGAAAAATGGTAACGATGTACTTTGCGTGCCAGCATGTCTGCTTGCGGGTTAAATATAATTTTGCAGAATTGTTGTCATATGACAACAATGGGTGCTGATGTAATTAAAATTGTTTACTGTGATTCACAGTAGGGTGAAAATGTCTGAGAAAAGGAAAAAAAATGGCTGGCAGTGAAAGTCATAAATGTAAAGCTCAAAAACTCAAAGAAAAAAAGAAACATGACAGCATTTTTTTGAAATTCCTAACAAATCACAAGATGAGCCTAACCATAGGCATGACTTTACCTAGGGCACCAAAATGTCTAGAGCTGGCCCAGTCTTGCTGGAAGAGCAGATAGAAGCCATGGCTGGGATAGCTTTTGCACCAATTGTGGCCTTTTCTGGAATGGGAGATTTTAATGATGGTCATGTATGCCCTTATCACATTGTGATTACTGTGATTTGCTCTACTTGGAGCTTGCTTTGAAGAACATTTAAAAACTGCAGCTAGTTCAAAGTGCAGCTGCCCATGTGGTAAATCAGATGATTGATTGATTGATTGATTGATTGATTGACAGACAGACACCTCCAAGTGGAATCTGCCATTTTGTAAGAGGCAAACAAGAGGGCATGTTATGGGTATCTTCCACTTAAGAGTTCAATATAAGAAGGTATAGAGGCAAATCTTCTTCATTTTGTCCCCTTTCAGCTTGTCTCTGGAGGCAAGGATGGCCGTGTCTCTGTTGGTGTTCAGAAGGCAGTCAAGACCTGGCTCTTCTACAGGGCCTTTGGAAGTTAGTTGAAACTGATCCTGGATTATAGTTGGAGGGCAGCAGACTGTCTGCCAGACTGATATGCAATATGGTGTTTTCTTATTTGTGTGTTTTGAACTTATTTACTATATGGATATTTTTAGCTGCTTTGAGTCTATGGAGTAGAGTGGCATTTAAACCCAAATAATAAATAATATATTCATTTATGTTTATTCATGTGTGATATATTTATTTACAAGCAAAGTACTGTTGACACATGCTTGTTGGTATAGTTTAGTTCATTCACTCACTTCAGCTGAAGTATTACGGCCTCAGTAGCAAAAAGTCAGTATTCCTTTATAAATTGTAGTGAAGTGGACTTGTTAAGCAACTATGTGAAGTATTACTAAACAAAGTATTAACTAAATCCCAAGAGAGTAATCCCTAATAACTCAGAAACTTACTCCCAAGGAAATCCTGCAAAACGTACATCTCTTGCTGGTCTAATTCAGTGTTTTTCAGACTTGGCAACTTTAAGATGTATGGGCTTCAACTCCCAGAATTCCCCAGCCAGCATGTGTGAAATCCACACATTTTAAAGGTGCCAAGTTTGAAAAACACTGGTCTAACTGGAATGTCAACATGTCACTGAGTTTATTCTTGCTCACAGGTTATATATTTATACCCCACCTTTTGTACAGGAACACAACCTGGCATACATAGTGCTCCTTCCTACTATTTCCCTCCATAACAACAACCCTGTGATGTAGGTTGGGCTGAGAGAGAGTGACTGGCCCAGTGTCACCCAGTGAGCTTGTGTAGCTGAGGGTAGACTAGAACCTGGGTCTCCCTACTCCTAGTCCAACATCTTAACTACTATACTACATTGGAACTCTGAATTCTAAATTTTAAACTAATTTTGGAGGTGGATTTAAATTTGAAAGAAAAGTTACAGAACAGTCCAACTGAACTGTAGGGGCAGATGCTATTTCAGTTTGTAAAACCCAACCCAGAACTATATTGAAACTAAATAAAACAGCAAAAGAACTAGAGGGCAACTTTTGGGAAAAGAATATTGTGAGGGGCTGAACAGGTCCATGCCCTTCTAGAAATTACACTCAAATAACTCCCTACTGATTATGCAAAGATAACATCTCCATACTCAGGAGATATCTGATATCCATTCCCCCTTAAACTATGCACACACCCACATTTTTAAACTCAGCCCTCCCAATTTCACTGGTTGTAGCCAGATGCTGGCAAAGGAAACACTTTATTGAGGAACTCAACTCTCCCAAGTGAAAAAGTGTCAATGCTCCTTAATAAACTTCAGTGAAGTGGACTCACATACAAAGCACCTGTGCTAGTTTGGCAGAAAGATGAGAAGACCTCACCATTTAACCTCTTTCCTAATAATTGAGAGAACTGGATTGCCTATCAATATAAGAAATAACAACAGCCATGCAGTCAGAAATTCAGCAGAACTGTGGGGGTTATCCAGCATATTGTAAGTGTTGTATGTTTGATTATCTCCCTGTGGGCCGAAGTCATGGTGCAATGAACTGGCTCTCAGGACCAAGCAGCCCTGAAGACTGAGGTAGCTGAACAGAAGAAGCTGAGAGAGAAGTTAATAACAGAAGCCTTCAAGGATGAAACAGAGGCACCCCATTCCAATTGCAATGTTTCAGCAGTCATGGAGAATGAAGCTTTCAGGGTTCAAGGACATCTCTCAAAATAAGAAAAAAAAAATCTTAGAAGGAACTTAGATCGTGGAGGATGAACAGATATTCTTATGACTAAGAATATACTTCTGGGCAGAGGGGGCTCTTAGTA